TAACTAGCTTGCATGCATCGCTCAAAAATAATTTGTGTTTTGACAATGGACATGCCAAGTTTGTGATTGGATAATCTTGGGAATTGGTGCTAAAGCTAGAGTTATCAAGTATGTTTAAGACACTGAAATGATGGCATACTAGGCTCATAGGTGCATGTGCCCTGCTATTTACCCTATCAGGCTTTGTTTGGACTAAGTGGTGGTGAACGTTTCCCTAGATTGTAAGCTCCAAGAAGCAGGGCCCTCGAACCCCTTGTGTATTGTATTGTATTGTTATGGTGCGGTCTCGTGTAATGGCTCCCAATATAATGTACAGCGCTGAGCAAACTGTTGGCGCTATATAAATACTGTAGAATAGTAATAATAAAAATCATAGAAGGCTAGACACTCTCCTACTACTCATCACTGTAAGCATTAATAAAACTTGAGAATAATGGTTTAGAATTATAGAAGATAATCTATAGAAGAATTATAGACAGCAAGAGTGGTGCACTGGTGTTCCTGAGGGCTTCACGCTGAAGACCATCTGGCTGTGACCAGGAGTAGGTCATTATACTCCAATGCGCATTTACTTGCGCTATCTGGTTAGTGCATTATACAGTTATTCCCCTATCACGGAAGTCACGGATTTGTTTTGGATACATCACAGAACTTATGACTTTAACATCTCCTTCACTATAGGCACCTTGATTAGTCGGATAGATCTTCATTACTTATCTGATTACTGTTTACATCAATTTAAGAGTGTGGGATCTGGTGCATGTCAAAATATGAATGTTTAAGTCTGCTATTCATGTTAATTCCCTGTATTATACACTCAAGCGCTGCAACTTTTTGTATTTGAATATTGCAATTCTATTCTCTCAAACCATCAAATTCACTTGCATGATTTTTTGTTTTGGAGAATCACGTATATATGTTCATTGGACTTTTGTGGGAGGATTTTGTTATTTATGCATAATTATTGGGTATTTTGTTAGTTTATTTCTCTCTTTAAGAAGGCACTGAATATTATTCATAAGTTCAATTTAGTGTTTATAAGGCACCAAACACAATTATATTTTCCCTTTATATAAGGGACCACGATTGTCTAATCACCAAGTTTATCCTGAAAAGGATTCAAATAAGGGGGGATTTGTATCACGGAGTGTCACCACAAGTGTATACTGTGGTTATCACTAGAGTTGCACTTTATTGGATCCAAATGTGATCAGAGCACAGTGTGTTTATATATTGGGTGTGTCACGTATTAATATCATCATTATATGTACTATCTTAACAGAGCACTGTATATTATATGTTAATATCATACTCATTTCTAGCTCTTCACTATTTATACTCACAGTAAAATTGTGCCACCTGACCCGCCGGGGTTTCATGGCCTCCTACCCACCTGGATACACCAAGGCCCTGATTGTGCTCTGCCTGATCCCAGAGCCAGTTTCTTCTGCAATGCTTTTCCTAATATCATTTGATCTCGTTGCCTTTTGATCTGTATTACAAGCCTTGACACTCCTCTGAACTGTTCTTCTTAATGACCATTACTGTCTCTGGACGGATCCTCTTCCATGTACCCTTGGTTTCCCCTGAGACCATGGGGAAACAATCCACTACTACTCCGGCCAAATCAAACAAATCAACAGCGGGCTCCTCTAAGATCCCAGCTACTCCTGCTAAAAGGCCTCCTCCTAAAAATGGCCTCGCCACAACCTCCACCTGAATATCCATTCATGTCCCAAGAGCTTATATGCCCTCTGGACTACTCATTTAACGACAGTCTTTCTGCCGCACAATTTACAGAGCTCACTGTTGTGGCAGTCTGAGATTCAGCTCTTCTTGAAAAGTTTAAACTTCTCCTACAACAGAAATTGAATACAGCAACGGAACAACTCACCACTAAGATCACTAACGAAATAAGGGACATAGGATCCCATATCGATGATCTTGAACATAAAATGGACGATGCAAATCTGGTGATTGACAACCGTGAACAAGACATGGACACTGTCAAACTGAATCTTGCCTCCGACCCTCCAGAAGCTTGAGGACTTAGAGAAACGTAACAGGAGAGGTACAGTGGGGATCGAAAATTTGGGCACCCCAGCTAAAAATTTGTATTAATGTGCATAAAGAAGCCAAGGAGAGATGGAAAAATCTCCAAAAGGCATCAAATTACAGATTAGACATTCTTATAATATGTCAACAAAAGTTAGATTTTATTTCCATCATTTACACTTTTTCAAAATAACAGAAAACAAAAAAATGGCGTCTGCAAAAGTTTGGGCACCCTGCAGAGTTAATATCTTGTACTGCCCCATTTGACAAGTATCACAGCTTGTAAACGCTTTTTGTAGCCAGCCAAGAGTCTTTCAATTCTTGTTTGAGGTATCTTTGCCCATTCTTCCTTACAAAAGTCTTCCAGTTCTTTGAGATTTCTGGGCTGTCTGTCATGCACTGCTCTTTTAAGGTCTATCCATAGATTTTCAATTATGTTGAGGTGAGGAGATTGTGAAGGCATGGCAAAGCCTTCAGTTTATACCTCTTGATGTAATCCCCCGTGGATTTCGAGGTGTGTTTAGGATCATTATCCATTTGTAGAAGCCATCCTCTCTTTAACTTCAGCTTTTTCACAGATGGCATCAAGTTACCATCCAAAATTTGCTGAAATTTTATTGAATCCATTTTTCCTTCTACTCGTGAGATGTTCCCTGTGCCACTGGCTGCAACACAACCCCAAAGCATGATTTATCCAACCCCATGCTTAACAGTTGGACAGAGGTTCTTTTCATTAAATTCTGTGCCCCTTCTTCTCCAAACGTACCTTTGCTCATTCCGGCCAAAAAGTTAAATTTTAACCTCATCGGTCCACAGAACTTGTTTCCAAAATGCATCAGGCTTGTCTATATGTTCATTTGCAAAGTTCAAACGATGATTTTTGTGGTGAGGACGTAGAACAGGTTTTCTTCTGATGACTCTTCCATGAAGACCATATTTGTACAAGTATCTCTTTATAGTGGAATAGTGTACCACAATTCCAGTGTCTGCCAGATCTTTCTGGAGGGATCGTGCAGTCAAACGTGGGTTTTGAATAGTTTTTCTCACAATCCTGCGAGCTGTTCTGTCTGATATTTTTCTTGGTCTTCCAGATCTTGCTTTAACTTCCACTGTTCCTGATGACTGCCATTTCTTAATTACATTCCGAACAGAGGATATTGACAACTGAAAACGCTTTGCTATCTTCTTATAGCCTGCTCTAGCTTTGTGAGCGTCAACTATTTTCAGTTTCAGTTTTCTAGACAACTGCTTAGAAGAACCCATGGTGCTGATTGTTGGGGCAAGGTCAGATGAGTCTGGGCATTTAAAACCTTTGAGATTGACATCACCTGGTCTTCCCAGACGATGATTGAGAACATTCCATGACACTGGCAGGTCTCAGCTTGGCAAAGGGGGCAGTGCATGCTATAAATTCTGCAGGGTGCCCAAACTTTTGCAGACACCATTTTTTTGTTTTCTGTTATTTTGAAAGTGTAAATGATGGAAATAAAATCTAACTTTTGTTGACATATTATAAGAATGTCTAATCTGTAATTTGATGCCTTTTGGAGATTTTTCCATCTTTCCTTGGCTTCTTTATGCACATTAATACAAATTTTTAGCTGGGGTGCCAAAACTTTCGATCCCCACTGTAAGTTCAGCCAAATGTTTCCACCATGTTTGATAGTTGGGATGGTGTTCTTGGGGTCATAGGCAGCATTCCTCCTCCACCAAACACAGCGAGTTGAGTTGATGCCAAAGAGCTCAATTTTGGTCTCATCTGACCACAATACTTTCTACCAGTCCTCCTCTGCATCATACAGATGTTCAGTGGCAAACTTCAGACGGGCCTGGATATGTGCTTTCTTGAGCAGAGGGACCTTGCAGGCACTGCAATATTTCAATCCTTGTCGGCGTAGCGTGTTACCAATTGTTTTCTTAGTGACTGTGGTCCCAGTTGCCTAGAGATCAGGGACAAGATCATCACGTGTAGTTCTGGGATGATTCCTTACTGTTCTCATTGACACTCCACGAGGTGAGATCTTGCATGGTGCACCAGACCTAGGGAGACTGACAGTTGTTTTGTGTTTCTTCCATTTGTGAATGATTGCACCAACTGTTGTCACCTTCTCACCAAGCTGCTTGGCGATAGTTTGGTAGCCCAGTCCAGCCTTGTGTAGGTCTACAATCTTGTCCCTGACATCCTTGGAGAGCTCTTTGGTCTTTGCCATGGTGGAGAGTTTTGAATCTGATTGTTTGATTGCTCCTGTGGACAGGTGTCTTTTATACAGGTTACAAAATGAGATTAGCAGCACTCCCTTTAAGATACGGCTTCTAATCTTAGCTTGTTACCTGTATGAAAGACACCTGGTAGCCAGATATCCTGCTGAATGATAGGGGATCAAATACTTATTTCCCTCATAAACATACAAATCCGTGCATAATTTGTTAGACATGCATTTCTGTTCAATTTTTTGTTGCTATTCTGTCTCTCAGTGTTACAATACATCTACCATTTGATTTTTAGACTGATCATGTCTTTGTGAGTGGGCAAACATTCAAATTCAGCAGGGGATCAAATACTTATTTCCTTTACTGTATAACAGCTTCAACTCTTCTGAGAAGACTGTCCACAAGGTTTAGGAGTGTCTATGGGAATGTTTGACCATTCTTCCAGAAACACATTTGTGAGGTCAGGCACTGATGTTGGATGAGAAGGCCTGGCTCACAATCTCCACTCTAATTCATCCCAAAGGTGTTCTATTGGGTTGAGGTCAGGACTCTGTGCAGGCCAGTTGAGATCAGGACTCCGTGCCAGCCAGTCAAGCTTCTCCACCCCAAGCTCGCTCAGCCTCGTCTTTATGGACCTTGCTTTGTGCACTGGTGCGCAGTCATGATGGAACAGGAAGGGGCCAAGCCCAATCCCTGAAAAAGAACCCCACACCATAATCCCCCTCCAACAAACTTTACAGTTGGCACAATGCAGTCAGGCAAGTAGTGTTCTCCTGGCAACCGCCAAACCCAGACACGTCCATCGGACTGCCAGACAGAGAAGCGTGATTCATCACTCCAGAGAACACATCTCCACTGCTCTAGAGTCCAGCTCTCTACGCACTGTTGTGCTATTCTGAAGGCCGCACAAAGTTTGGAGGTCTCTAGCTATTGAGTCTGCAGACAGTTGGCGACTTTTGTGCACTTCAGCATGCACTGGCTCCTCTCTGTCATTTTGTGTGGCCTACCACTTCGTGGCTGAGTTGCTGTTCCCAGTTGCTTCCACTTTGTTATAATACCACTAACGGTTGACCATGGAATATTTAGTAGCAAGGAAATTTCACAGGTGGACTTATTGCACAGGTGACAACCTATCACGGTACCACGCGTGAATTCACTGAGCTCCTGAGAGCGACCCATTCTTTCACAAATGTTTGTAGAAGCAGTCTACATGCCTAGGTGCTTGATTTTATATACCTGTGGCGATAGAGGCGATTGGTACACCTGAATCCAATGATTTGGAGGGGAATCCCAATACTTTTGGCAATATAGTGTATGTAAAAGCAGCTCTGATAGACACACAGCCCTGCTGGCTATGTGATCTGTTTTTGTGAAGTACAGCCCTGGTCTCCAGAGTGGCTCTTGATGTCAATCAAAACTCCTACTTAGCAGCATTGCTGAACGGGGATGGATTTTAATGGGACTTAGCAGCATTGCTGAAAGAAAGTACGGAATTCAATGGGACCAAGTGCTATATGCACTTAATGCTCTAGGGAGCTAAAACAATAATAAAAAAAAAAACAAAACAAAAAAAAACAACATGACAGATAAAACAGTAATAAAGTGTAATTGCACTTTCATGAAAAAGGAAGCAAATAAATAAATATAGCCTTTCCAATTGCTACACATACCATATGGTAATTTAGTGTTATTAAAAACCACTAGACGTGCGGTTTGTTTCGTTACGAATCGAAATTTGGACTAACTTTCATTATTCGGATGTATCTAGATTTCCAAATCACAATACGAACGAATTTCAACGAATCCAAAATAAACTATAATGAAGCGAATCATCCAAATTTGAATATAAATTTGAATTTGAAAATGAATTTGAAATGGAAACACGATGCAATAAACACAGTAAAAGTATAAAATGAGAAATAAGAGTATGATTGCAACTCAGGCTGCTTTATAGAATAGAAAAACAGAATAGATATAAAAATAGAATAAAAACAGAACAAACCAGAATAGAGTAGAACAGAAAAAATAGAACAAATATATCGGTCCATGAATATACAGGTATGAAACAAATCTGAATATACAAAACGAATTCTGAAAACAAATTCTAACAAAGCAAATATGACCAAAAAAACCCCCATTACTTAATGAACGAAGCTGAAACAAAACAAAATGTTTCCATCATGCACATCTCTAAAAATCACCTTTCTAGATCACTCTGCAGCACTGTAATTTTCTGTAAAATAGCAACCTGAAGGCGTTCTGTTCACCATTGATGTAGAGAACGCCTCAATACATGTCAGAACCTGCTTGTGTGATTGGCTCACTGATTTTCGCAGACATCTGCACTAGGACACAAGTCAGAAATTATGCCTCTACTGCAACATTTTATGTTTGGTGAGCTACACTAAGGGCTAATTACTTGTAAAGGGATGCAGACAATGCAGCTTTTCATCATAACACAAAGTGCATCAGCCCATTATAATGAACGAGTCAGTGTGCAAAAGACATGGTCATGTTTCTAAAGAGCAAAAACAGGAGTAAACTCCATGCAATGCTCATTACCCAAAGGGGATTTTTTCTTTTCATCAAAAGAGGAGTAACTCTTCAACTTAATCTGGGGTCCAGTAGTTGGCAAGCAGCCCCCTAAAACCACTATTTTCAACCAGTGTTGCTACTGCCCCTTTTTCTGAAGTCAATACCACCTTGCAGGAGCATAAGCCACTGCTGATTCTGCATTGTATGTGATGAAGCAGGGCTTGCTCACCCAAATTCTAGCGCTAGAAGAAAATCAGACCATCAGGAGCCACAGATTAAGGTACATAATGCTCTAAATTATCTCATCTCCTAGCCATATATTCTCTATTAGGGGGCATTTTTTTTACTTTTTAGCGGTACCCAAAAAGGTCCGCTTTCTTTTTTTTTTGTACAACACACAGATAAAACATAACAATGATTAGTTTCATTATATATTATTGTATATTTTGATGTCTCTGACCTCGCAACCGCACTGCCCTCCCACCACACCCAAGGCCCCGCTTACCGTAACCCCCCCCAGCACTGCACTCCTTCAGCCCTGCTACCACTGAGGAAGTCACCAGGGTATTCTCAGAAGCCAGCCTCATTACCTGCCCCCTGGACCCTATCCCCTCTCAACTCCTCCGGTCACCCCCCTCTTCCCTCATCCGCTCCCTCACCCACATCTTCAATCTCTCCCTCTCTACCGGCTTATTCTCCTCCCCCCTAAAGCATGCGCACATCACCCCCATACTCAAAAAGCCCTACCTGGACCCCATTGACCCAAACAACCTCAGACCCATCTCCCTGCTGCCACTCACTTCCAAGCTCCTTGAGCGCTTAGTCTACGACCGCCTAAGCGCCCACCTGACAACAATCTCCTTGATCCACTACAGTCCGGCTTCCGTCCCCTACACTCCACTGAAACCGCCCTCCTCAAAATCACCAACGACCTACTTACGCCAAAGCCAAAGCCAAAGGCGACTACTCTGTCCTCCTTCTCCTAGACCTCTCCGCGGCCTTCAACACAGTTGACCACCCCCTCCTCAATAAACTACTCTCCCTTGGCATCAATGACACCGCTCTCTCCTGGTTCTCCTCTTACCTATCCCGACACTCCTTCAGTGTTTCCTACAACGGTGCCACCTCCCCTTCCCTCCCCCTCTCTGTTGGGGTCCCCCAGGGCTCCGTCCTTGGACCCCTTTCTCTTCTCCATCTACACCTCCTCCCTTGGCAAACTCCTACACTCCCACGGCTTCAACTACCACCTCTACGCTGATGACACGCAAATTTACCTCTCCACCCCTCACCTCACCCGCACATTCTCCACCCACATCACTCACCTCCTAAACGACATCTCAGACCGGATGTCGCTCCATTTCTTCAAGCTTAAACCTCTCCAAAACCGAGCTTCTCGTCTTTCCCCCTGCCCCGCCCCCCCCCATCCTATCCATCACTACCAACACCACCATCAAATCCCGCCCCGCAAGCCAAAGTCCTTGGCGTCATTCTGGACTCAAACCTTTTCTTCCAACCTCATGTCAAATCACATACAAACACATGCAGGCTCCACCTTCGCAACATCGCCAAGATACGCTCCTTCCTTACCCCAGACACCACTAAGCTACTCGTTCACTCCCTGATTATCTCACGCCTTGACTACTGCAACTCCCTTCTCACCGGCCTACCCCAGTGCAGGCTCTCCCCGCTTCAGACCATTCTGAACGCAGCGGCTAGACTCATCCACCTCCCAACCGCTCCACCTCTGCCACCCCCCTCTGCCTATCCCTCCACTGGCTCCCTATTGCCCAACGCATCAAATTCAAACTACTCACTCTGACCTACAAAGCCATTCACAACACTGCCCCTAACTACCTCACCAACCTGATTCCCAGGTACCACCCTACCCGTACCCTTCCCTCTTCACAGGACCTCCTATCTTGCTCCCTGGTCTCCTCCTCCCACGCACGACTGCAAGACTTCTCCAGGTCCTCCCCCATCCTCTGGAACTCACTACCTTAATCCATCAGACTGTCACCTTCCCTCCTCACCTTCAGGTGCTCCCTGAAAACCCACCTCTTCAGGGAAGCCTACCCCACCCTCACCTAACAGCCGTTCTCCTTCATTCCTCCTACCACTCCATCCCCCACAGCCACTTCCTCCTGTACCACTACCCCCTCCCTTCTAGATTGTAAGCTCGAAAGAGTAGGGCCCTCTAACCCCTAGTGTGCTGTTTGTAGTTGCTGTAAGGTTTCATGTATTGTCCCCCCCCCCCCCTCTATTGTACAGCGCTGAGCAAACCCTTTGGCGCTATATAAACTCGATGTAATAATAATAATGTCCCACTTTTATGTAAAAAAGTACTATGGAAACAAAGCTGTCCAATGACAATGTGATAAGAGATGGGTTTTTAGTGTGCAGATAACATAAAATGAACAAGAATTTTGCCTGCACTGTGTGAATGCAGTAGATGCTATTGACCCATAGAGATAGTAGGGCCCTTACTTCACTAATAAGGCACAGTTGTGCCCTATAAATATGAATTTTACCGGCTTATTTTGTCTAAGGACAGGAGACGCACTTTTTTACCTTACCCTCCGCTCCTCCAGCAGATGGCACTCCCCCATGCTCCAGCTGTGGATTGTCCCTCAGCGTCATCACATCCAATGCAGGGCTATGTATCTTGCATTAGACTTGATGATGTCAGGACTTTAAACTGCTGGAGCACGGAGGAGAAGATGCTGCAGGGAACGGTCTAGTAACAGGAAGAAGATGAGGATCAGGTAAGTAAATCAACTTTTCTATGTGCCCTAGAACTAAACAAGCAGTTAATCCTTGCAGTGCAGGCACAACCCCATTGAAAGAGATAATCTAAGTTCTCCAGTGTCAGGCTTAAAAAAGAAAAAAAAAAAAAAAAAAAAAAAAGATAAATAATTCATGACAACGAATAAACAGTTATTACCCTAGATATCCAAAATGAACATTAGTGAAGACAAATTTGTCTGGTTATAAATGTTCTGCATTATATCAGTTCTGTACATGCTGAAAGCCTCATCAACTCTGCGGGAGCAACTTTTGGGTAAGGAATGAAATTAGTGAGAGAAGTGCTTGACGCACAGCTTCTCATTAAACCCTTCATGAGTGAAAACACACGCTGCCATCCCTCTTTGAGAATTCAGAAAATTCCTGGAATAACTTAATTTGTTTGAGACCTATGCCTTTGAAAGCTTTTTTGGTCATTTCAAGCCTTAAGAAAGAAAAGAATCCACATTCTTGAAAAAAGGCACAGTAAATCAAATTTCTATAAAAGGCATTTTGTGATTTAATATTAAAAATCTCCTATTTCATTCTTCAACCAGATTCTTTTCTTTATAAAAATGGCAAAATGGTTTCTTTCCAATCAATTCTGGGAGCTTCCTGTATACACATTAGATAACATGTCAGACATCAGCAAACTTCTTACGTTTGCTACAATTAACTTTCATCTATGATGTATACAGTACAATCTATATATGTTTACAGGGATATTAAAATGAAGTTTATAACGGAATAAATCAGCCTCAGTGTAAACAGGCAGACATTTCCCACTCAGCAGTCAAATCTAGAGTGCTTTGCCTGAGGCAGCCCATAGATGATTTTGGTTTTTGTTCAACCAGCAAGTTGCACTAAAGAAATTGACCCGATTCCCCCATCTACACATTTGA